GATTTAGCTCAGCGGCAAAGCGCCTGCCTGGCAAGCGCAAGGTCGTGAGTTCGGTTCCCGGTACCGGAGAAAAACCAAAAAAAAAAAAACCAAAAACCAAAAATGAAATAGGACCATGCCTTTAAGGAGTTCTGGCAAAGTGCCAGACTCTGCTTTAAAAGGGCAATTTCACACTTCTTGGTCCTGTAGCGTTTGCTACCTCCTCCCTCACGGGCTGTGTCAATTCCTGCAAACCTTTCTTCTAATTTTGTTCCAGTAATCAACCAGAAAAACCAGCTTGTTAAGTAAAACTGTACCCATAATGCCGTGAGTCAAGGGCTCGGCCTTGCCTGAGAGGTGGTATGACAGACACCGGCAACGCGGAGGCCTCTGCTGAAGCTGCCGGAAGCTGCCGCGGGATGTGAGGTTGTTGGCGGAAGGCATCTTACCTGCTTTTTAGGAGAAAGTGCTAGCCGTCCACTTTAGAGAACTACTAGGCTACACAACAGAAAACTCATCTTTTTATCATTCTTTATATTGCAATCTTATTAATGAATTATGTAATAGATCTAGCTCATACTAAATATACTTATGTACACTGAATATCCAAGACAATTATTTTGGTAATTGCTTTGATCTTGCTGTACACGGGAGGAAGATATTTTTTGCTTCTTTGATCCTGGAAGAAATCTGTCTGCACTGCATCCTGAGAGGACTCACAAAGGGTATAAAAGATGGAGACATCACGTCGTACATCATTAAGCCACCAGAATCCAGGCCTTCAGGGGCTCAAATCCAAGCATTTTGCGCTCTGTGAACTTGCTGGGAGCCAGGGCCAGAAGACAAAGGCCTGGGAACAGGGTTAACACAGCTATTTTTCTTAGTCTTTGGTAACACTGTTTGGCTGAACAGTGCGAATTTACTGCACTTATTCACCAGGTAAATTTCAACAGGAAGCAAAACCATGCTTGCGAGACAGTGACTAGGCGATTTCAGTTAGCTGTAGCAACAAGACCTCTTTATTCACAGTCTCTGGGGGGCGGGAAATCAGCACATATTAAGCATTTTATGAGGTAATTTTCTATCTTGAAATTCACTAAGACACTTAGTGAACAAAGTTTCTCACAGATATGTATGTATGTTCATGCACACATGCATGAGAAAGGAGTGAAAATGTCAGTGTGACAGGGCCAAGTGGTCACGGAAGGGTTCAGCGACTGGATGAACTGGCGTCTGCTGTCACCAGGCTCTTAGTTCATTTGTCACAGGTCACTGGATTAGTCTAAATATTCCACACACGTCCTAATCCTGGGCAGTCAAGGATCTCAGATAAAAATGAAGACATCAAACATCCATTCTCAGTGGAGATGTACTATTCTATTTTTTTTTTTTTTTCTGGTACCGGGAATGGAACTCATGACCTTGCGCTTGCCAGGCAGGCACCGTGCCGCTGAGCTAAATCCCCAGCCCCTGAGATGTACTATTCTAAAGAAAGATTCTGAAGGTAAAGATTTAGACAAAAAGACCTTCCATATTCCTGAATATCAAGTTTAATACTACAAAGATGTCATTTTTTCCAGTGCTGTAGCTAAGTTCGTGCTGCTCAAGGCAGTCCTTCAATTTGCCCCCCTCTAACATATCTGAATGTGCTGACCTATTTAAATAGAAAATTAAAACGACCTATACAGGAAAATATTTATATTTCAATGTACTCGAATCTTTGCTGTAATGCTGCCCCAAAAAATCCACTGCCAGGGGCAGACCACCTCCTCTATTCCTGCCCCTGCCAGCTTCCCCCCTGGTTTTTTCCCTAAATTAACCTAGAAATTTAATGAAGATGTCAAGATAACCTTTTATGGGAACACAACAAAATGATACTAACATTCATCTAGAAAAATCTAACAGCCAGGAAATTTTGGAAAAATATTAGTAATTTAGATTTGGGTGAGGTAAAGATTACTTCCACTATATTTTAAAACATACCACAAATTGAAACAGGTAAGAAAAAATACGAATTGATCAATAAAATCCAGAAATAGACCCATAAAATACAAATGGAAATTCAGTCTATGATATGGGTGGTATTTTAGATTACCCGAGGAAAAAGAGGTTACCTAATAAAAGTGGTTTGGTAACTGACCGTTCTCATTGTACGTAGCTAAATTGCACCAATAAACTTCATTATATAAAAAATAACTGGCTGTTCAGAAAAGTGTAAAGTCTGATCACAAATTCTACATCAGGCAGGGTTTTATGTGGAACATAAACTCCTCCAGACATTTCAAGCAGAAGGGCTTTATTTTATTTATTTATTTTTAAAATTTTTTTTATTTTTGGGTTGTTTTTTTTTCCTGTACCGGGAATCGAACTCACGACCTTGCGCTTGTCAGGCAGGTGCTGTGCTGCTGAGCTATATCCCCGGCCCCCCCAGAAAGGGCTTTAATAGGATGAGGTCCTTACAAAACCACGGGGAAAGAGAACATCAAATACTCAGAGCCGAGGTCTGTGACCGCCTGTCACCCGGAGCGCGGGAAGCTGGGGCTGCCGTCACCACAGCACTGCCTCAGGCCCAGGACGCAGCCGACCGGCCACTACAACTTGAGGTCCAGTTGCTACGAACAACTCCTATCTGCACAGGTACAGTCACAGAAGATGGCCTCTGCCTCCTTTTTATTCTCCTAATCTCGACCAAGTGTGTATTATTGTCAGAATCTAAGATGCTCAGAACCCTACTTAGAGCCTGCAAAACTTCACTCTCTGCTTTTTAATCGCCTGGGGTATGGGGAGGGGAGGCATGGGATAAATATATGCCAACTGCTAAAAGACAATGTGTAGCATATACCCTTACATTAAAATTAATTCTATATGGATAAAAGTTACTAGTAAAAAATGAATCTATCAAAATGTTTTGTAATAAACCATAGGCGAATTTATAATCTTAGTGTATAGAGGTATATCTAAATATAGTATGAAATTCTAAAGCCAAAAAGGAAAAGTGATGTATGTATCTATATTTAAAAAGCAAGCCGGGTGTGGTGGCGCATGCCTGTAATCCCAGCACTCAGGAGGCTGAGGCAGGAGGATTGCAGCGAGCACAAGATCAGCCTGGGCTACAAAATGAGTTCAAGGCCAGACTAAATTGCACAGCAAAACCCTGTTTCAAAACAAACTAACAAACAAACAAAAAAATCCCAGAGCATATATAGGGGTGTAGTTCAGTAGTAAAGTGCTTCTTTAGCATGGGTAAAGCCTTGGGTTTAATCCCCAGCACTAATAAATAAATATTTTAAATGATATCTGTCAATATTTTAAACCCAAATCCTATGACTGGCTATGTTACTGCTAGGATTTATATTACAGAAATACTTGTGTAAGTCTGCAAAAGTATGTATCAAGTAATATGGAATTATTTGTCAGAACAAAACTCTGAACATGAGTGACATATAAAATTATGGTCCATCAAATGACCGATCACTATGAGGTCAAATAAAAGCAGAGATTTGAAAGGAAGATGTTACTTTTGTACAACACAAACTCATCTGCAGGTAAAGCCTTAAATTATCTAACTTTACACAACTCAATTACACTGCGTTCGAAAAAATCATTAGGAGTTACTTGGTGGGAATTATGGTGCCTTGTGTTTCTTGTAACTCTGATTTAGAACTTTGAAACTTCTCAACTTCCCCCTCCCACCCAGAAAAAAAACAAAGCTCAGATAAATTTTGTAACTATATTTTTATTTTCTCTAAGAATGTTCAAGATTTTTGGTTTTGTAATTTAAACATACATAATTCCAAAATTAATAAAACTGTTCTTTAGAAGTACCCAGTAAACTAGTGTATGCTGTGAAATCACTCTATTATTGATTGAATTATACTTCAAAGAAATCAAGAATTTCAGTTGAAAGAAAAATTGTATTTATAGGAAATTCTATCATATATACACATTTACAGTTTTTTATAAACTCTTCATTTAAAATCATTCTTTCTCAAAAACTGTACTTCAGCATGAGACAGGTATCTATCAAGTAATTAGTATGTACATAGGTGGCTGTGAAAGATTACTCATAACGCTAATATATTCTGCTCCAAAGGCAAAAAATTGTGTTTAGAAATCATCTTAACATTTCTTATCATCTACAAAGCAGCAACAGTATTTAAGTTATTAAAAATGGCAAATTCAATAATACATAATCATAAACAGTCCCTTAAGAAATGTATTTGAAAAGCCATTATTGCACAAAATATTTACATTGTTTAATTTACATAATAGCATAATTTTCTTGTTTCTATTTTAGTTGAACATATTAATAAAAACCTCTAAAAAAAAGCTACTCATCCTTAAAGGAAACTTTATCCTTGGGTTTATTCAGCATCTTTATGTCATCCAACAGCTTTTTGGGTGTTAA